TTGTATATTGCAGTATAATGTAGCATTACATACATAATACAATCTAGCAATATTGTCAATACATAAATTTTTACCCCGAAATTTTCATCTCTTTGAGTGATCATTCAACCATTCCAAAGTGTGTAAATATTATATGTCACCGAAAAAACCCTGGCATGCCGCTACAGTGTGCAAACTCACATCTCATACATGTGGGAGGTAAGTGTGGCTCCATATCTATGTGGGGACACTATGTCATTAGAGCGATTTCGATATTGGGTCCAGATGTCAACAACTATATTCACACGGGATTTTTCCCAGCTGGCAGATGGTGGTTTTCATGTTTGTCCCATGTGTCAAACAAATGGCGGTGTATGGTACCAAAAAAGCCCGAAAATCGACACTTTCAAAACATGTCCGAGTCTTTTCCCCGAATTTTACCATAATCGGAAATTTTTACGAGGCCCGAATCCTGCCCTTTTTTGACTTTTTTGGTACTAGAGCTCTTATAGGATATTCCAGGGTCCTCGCAGTACTCGAGGTTGAATCGTGCAGTAAAACGCGCTCACGTGACACAAGTGTCAGATCTAAATCAGTTTCTGTACGTCACGTGCTGCTTGCCTCGGGATTCGAGCGAATTACTTTACATGCATTGGAGATCTTAACTGTCATTTATATTGACCTTTTCATCGATCTGCCATGACATCGAAACCTACCGCAACTAGAGCTTCAACTCGTGCCAAAGCTGTACCAGCGCCAGCTGTGGCAACGACAACTACGAGAACAACCAGGGCACGGACTGCGACAACAAAGACTGCTGACGTGCCTGCTGTGGCCTCCACCACGGTGAAGAAGACAACAACCCGTAAACCTTTGCTAAAAAGCGAAACCTCTACTCAAACCACCGCGGCGAAACCTGCTTCAAAAGTCGCAGACACGCGAAAGACAACGGCGAAGCAGACCAGTGTCGCGGTGTCTGATGGAGATCGGGAGCCAATCATGGTGGGCGCGTCTGTTAAAAACGTCCTTTACACTGTTTAAGAGGAATTCAAGGCCTACTTGCGAATTAGGCCACGTTTAGGAGATGACGAGTCTACTGTACAGCCCTACTTGACGCCCCTCTCCGATACCTCTGTGCGGATGGCAGATCCCAGCGAGCAGCTCAACAAACCTGCGCGCTTTCGGGCATCTACACTTCCGCCCTCGTCAATCTATACTTTTTCTCATATATTTCCCCCAGACACAACCCAGTCTGATTTCTTTACGAAAACGACCTTGCCCCTTGTCCGCGATTTGCTTCAAGGACAGAACGGGTTGCTTTTCACGTATGGTGTAACGAACTCTGGAAAGACCTACACTGTTCAAGGCGGAACACATGAAGGCAGTGCAGGGATCTTACCTCGAACGCTTGATGTCATTTTCAATAGCATTGATGGCCTTCATGGCGATGGTCGAGTAAGTTGACCATCTCGCCCAGAATTATCTAATTTTTAATCAAATTATCCAGTTCCGTCCTATCAGATTGCAGGGAGTAGAGCCTGCTCATCCTAATGACTCCAGGGCACCCCAAATCACACCAGAGCCTGCCTTGGCCGAAGTCTTTGGTCAACACCTCGATTCTTCCCCATCTGATTCGGACATCGACCCCACGGTGTTGAAAGTTGATCGTAATTATGAATATACCATCTGGATCTCGTACGCGGAAGTTTACAATGAAAAGGTCTATGACCTTCTCGAATCCGTCAAGGATGAATCGGATCCAGGAGCCAGCAGCGGGATTCCTCGTGCGACTAACGCGAAACCCATGGTTCTCACACGAGTAGCATTGCCTCTAAAACCATCTCCGGCATCTGATAATGGTGACTCGATGACAACTGGCAAATACATCTCTGGCTTGAAGCAGTTCCGAGTTCACAGTGCATCTCAGGCAAAGTCGCTTGTGAAGTTGGGACAGTTACATAGACGAGTCTTTGGCACACTCGCGAACAGTGAGAGTAGTCGAAGTCATGGCATGGTTATCATAAAAGTCATCAAAGGTCACCGAGGCGAGAGAGATGTAAGAATTTTTGCCCTTTAATTCTCAAAATCTATATTCAAGATGGATAGGATCCTACTGCTCTTCAAATCTCGCGTCTGACTCTGGTTGACCTGGCTGGATCCGAACGCACCAAGCATACCCATACTACTGGCGACCGCCTCCGTGAGGCTGGCAACATCAATAAATCTCTCATGGTTCTTGGACAATGTATGGAAGTGATGAGGTCAAATCAGCGAAAGCTTGCCATGAGCCTTGCACAAGAAGGGTCTGGAAAGGACGGTCGGATGGATACGAGGGATGTGAAGAAGGGCCTCGCAGTTGTCCCTTTCAGGCATAGCAAGCTTACTGAGGCGCTCATGGACTACTTTATTGGAGACGGTAAAGCTGTGTGTTCCATTTCTCTCTTCTCTAACAACAGCTGATATACGATGATATGCAGGTCATGATAGTCAACGTCAATCCGTATGACACAGGATACGATGAAAACTCCCATGTTATGCGATTCGCTGCACTCGCAAGGGAAGTCTATGTGACACCTGCCCCTGCTCCAGTACATCGCCTCACGAGCGGGATGCAAGGGCCAGGTAAAGCAAATGGGAAGACAATCAAGGAGCTTGGTCCAATGACACTGAAAGACCCGGAAATTGCTCCCCATCCGTATCGCCGGAAAGTCACCATTTCTATGGGTGGCGCAGGTAGTGGGCAGCAGGCTCGTGAAGCAGTGTTGGAAGTTCTTGAAGGTCGATTTCCAATTATCATATGGCATGTTATTTGATTAACATTGCACTTCCAGAGGATGAGCCAAATGACGAGCAAGACGATGCAAGTGACGACGATCCCATCAATCCTCTTGTTGACGCCCTCTTTGACGAAGTTGAGGATTTGCGTCTACAGGTTGGTTATTCTTGAGAAGTTTTCCTATACAAAGTTAAACATGCCGTTAGTTATTCGAAGCTGAAATGAGGTGCGCTATTGTTGAAGCAGAGACTAGAGAGGAGGTTATGCGTGAGATGGAGGAGCGCATGCGCAGCATGGAGGCAATGTACTCCCGACGGCTTATGAAAGAAGTAAGCAACACGTAACATTTTCACGCTTTGACTGAACCCTCGTAGCTTGAACAAAACGAGCTCAAAACGGACGCCAAAATCGACATGCTACACCAATCTGGGCTGTTTGGCAGCCCAATAAAAAAGACACAGGCTCCGCGCCCCCCTAGCGATATCTCTGAGGACGAAGAACATGATGTAGAGATGAGCATTGTGAATATCTGTTTCTTCGATTTTTATGGCATTTTAGGTTCTTAAATCTCACACTAGATTGATTATGGCCCTGAAGAAGATGAGCTCTCTCCGCTTCACGAAGACGAGTCCAACTCTGAGGGAGGTAGTTCTAGATCTTTGTCACCGCTTGCGAAGAAAGGAAAAGGCAAATTACAGAGCCCCCTTGTAGTTCGGTCCAGTACCGCGCCGAAGGAGATTCGTCAAGTCAGAAAATTCGTTCCTGACGAACCCCTGCCTCAAGATGACGAAGACGCAGAAATGACAGACCCAGACGATGAGAGTGCTGCTCCTTCTGATGAAGTCGGGAGTGACGTCCATGAGGACGAGGAGTACAACGAAGAAGACGAAGTTGATGACGACGTTGACGAAGACGATTGGGTTCCACCTACATCCTTTTCTGCAGGCAACAAGAGCTTGAAAGGCAAGAAGGTAGTAAAGGTCGAGTCAAAGGCCCAACCGGAAGTTTCAGCAAAGAGTAATAACAGTCGCGCATCTCGCGCATCCCGTGTATCTAAACTGGCAAACTCGCTGGATGAACTCTCACTACGTGGGCCAGAGGACTCTGTCGTCATTCTACCGGCCAGAAAAACTAGGCCGTCTATTAACGAGCGAGGAGAGTCAGAGGGCGAAGGGGAGGACTCAGATTCTGAGCTCGAGCTTCCCGTGCCAAAGAAGAAAAAGAGGTATGCGCCGACTACCTACTTCTTTCGATCACGGATTAACAGATTTTCAGGCAACTGGGCAAGAAACCTGTAATGACTGAAGAACAAATTGAGAAGGTAACCTATGCGGTAGAGAGGAGGACTTCGAAACCGGATGGTGTGAAGAATATCAGGAGATTGACTACAGGGAGATGATCGATCGCTAATTGCTCTCACCTCAGATAGGTTTTGGTAGTTCGTTGAATAAATCACTCTTTCAAGTTTCCTCAGGAGACGAAATAAAATCAGCTACCGTGATCCCATTACCAAGGCGTTATAGTGTAGTGGTTATCACTCGAGATTCTGATACTTCAACTTCTCGAAACCCAGGTTCGAGCCCTGGTAATGCCTTTTTGTAATCAAGGACCACGCGTGGTGTTGCCCCGCCTCATCACTACGCTTGGCCCTTTCTTCATCTCATCAGGAATTGGAATGGTTTGTATTGAGTGCTGATGCAGTTACTTCAAATTTCAGCCCACCCTCCGTCTCCTTCTCCGAAACTAAAGAACGCAAGACAAAATACTATAGCACTGGCCCCAAGCCTCATTCCAAGTCCACGATAAAGCTGACCAATGCCTGTCTGCTTAAGCCAGCTACCCCCACTAGTATCCTCATTGCTCGCATCGAGCGTAGGTCGCTCCTTGCCTTTCGCACTTGCCTGACTGTCTCTGCGTGGCCGCACTGTTCTTTGAATAGGAAGATCAGATCGTTCCTCAGTCAGGATATGCCAAAAGGCATCTACAATCCCATTGTACGGCGCTGGGCGTAGCTCTACGCAGCCTCTGAGAGGTATCGCCGTACCGCGCACCTGAACTTGGAGCCTTCGGCGAATGGTCTCGAAAGGGAGTGTAACGAGTAGACCAAGACAACTTCCACCAAGCTCGACGAATCCCCAAGCCCAGGGGTTGGTCTCTTCCGAGATATGGATACCAAGGTAACCAGCTAGTAGGCCTGGGAATGCCAGAGATACAATAGGACGTAGGGCGTTGTCGATTATTGTGGGGATGAAGAGCTGTGGATGAAAGTATATGCCTTTAAGGCCTCCCTCATCGCGCAGGATTTGGGACAGGGCATCTAGAGGTCCTGTATACTTTCTGTGGCGTGATGTGAAGGATTGAACGATTAAACGTGTGCGAATGAGATCCAGGGGTGACAATAAGAAACCTGTGATGAGATGTGAGGCGACGGGTAAAAAAATGGGTGGTTGATGGAAGGGAGACATCGAAGGAAAGAAGAGAGATTGTAGGAAGTTGTGGATTAAAGGCTGCACAGTGGTAGAAATAATCTCGCTGATGCAGGATGTTAGAAGACCTTAAAATGTTATGATAATCGTTAACTTAATTCGTTTCATATGATAAATCGAAGTGATACCTTTCCACAAGGCCAAGTAGCCCTCCCCTCGGAAGTGACCTATTCGTTTCATCATCCCCCATACACCATCTGCGCTCCCTACGGGAATAATATATTCTGGACGGGTTCCTTCTTCAAGGACAGATCGGCGAATGACGTAGCCTTGATCGTCTGTAGGTCGTGGCGCTGTATGGCGAGCGGGTGCAACATGTGGGTCTGCAAAGTAGGAGTCGTCGTTCGAGGAATCACTTAACTAATAGTTACATTTAGTAAAGTAGTCTCTGGGGTTGTGTGTTACATACTGCATCCTCGTTGTCATCGACTAGTTCTGGCTCTTCCGGCTCGCCGGCATCTCGAGGAACCCATTGTACTTGTAGCAATAACTTTCCGACCTCCCATGGCATAGCAATCGCAGAACTTGAGTATTGGAGTACCGTGGTCGCAACGAGAGCTCTAAAGAGGTTCGTGACATTGATTCCGGACGGTTCGGTGAGATCCAGAGACGGAGAAAGCTCGAAGATTGAATTGTGAGAAGGTCGAGTGGACCATTGATAAGAGGTTCCAGAGGCACTCGGTTCAGGGCTGGCAGCTGGCTGGACTGGAGGTGGAAGGAAAGCCCAGGCAGATGATGGGTCGATGTAGAGGTCACGGAGTGACGCTGGAGAGCTCATAGCACAGTGAAAATTCTTGATGATATTTTGGAGGTCACCTGTCCTTGTGAGACTTAGCAGGGAGATTCCGCCAGACGGTGGAGTAGCGTCGAGTTCACTGGTTGTACTCGAAAAGTTTGCACCCAGGAGACGGGTTAGTTGTCCATGTGACGACCGGGCATGGTCTTGCCAAACAGAGGTACAGTACACGTCGTCCTAAAGGAGTAAATCTTTCGAATACTTATCACGCGTACGCGTAAACCCTTAATACTCAGCTTTATCACCGAGTTTTCTTATCTTCATTCAGACCTGGGGACTATCCGCGGATTTGAAGAAATGGAAGACCGGGGCCTTCATGTCTCCGACTAACCGTGTGGAATTCTGCTAGACATGGGCTTTAAATATTCTGGATAAATATACACTGGTATACTACACCAATGGCCAATTTGCGGGTGCCACAAGTACATAAACCGCAACGTGTTGGGCTAAAGGCCTCGCGGCGGTGAAAGTCTCGATACTGCCCCACCGGCTTGGAGAGTAGGAGGAGATCACTGCTGGGCATTTCCGCAGCAAGGCACTTGACAATGACAGCGTACGGCGGTGTCGGGCAACGCCGAATACGTGTGACCAAATGTGATGGATGAATTTGAAAAGGTGGTGACATCAGGATTGGTCCAAAAGTTCGTACGCCATTCTAATTCGCCTGCCTGCCACGCTCCTTACTCTCCATCCTCCACTTCTCTCCCGAATTCCTTCATCTCCCTCCGTCTTGTCCCCATGGCCTCGAACGGCGGAGCCGGGGTCAACCCAATTCCGAAGCAAAACGCGCCTGTACCTGTCTACACATTCGACCCACATGCGCCGCCTGCGGAAAAGGGGGCAGTTGCGGCAAAAGGTCAGGAGAAGCTCAATAGCATAGTGCCGACGGAAGAAATTGGCGCCAAAGGTTCGTTGGGCGCTTTGTGATCGACTCATTTCCTGACATCATCACAGAGGTCCCAGTTCACAACGGCAATTCTAATGTCGTCCCTACAATCAAGGTGGAGGACACCGAAAATGCAATCATTTCCTCCGACAACTCCCAGCCCGCGGAAGTTCCTCAGACGGACAAGAACGTTGTTCCAGGTGCATTCCCCACTACGCGTGCTCCACCTATTCCAGACTGGTACCGTGTTGGATGGCGTCAAATGTCTGGGATTGACAAACCCTCACTACCGGAAGGGGAAGAAAGAGACAAGGGTGTGCTCGACATGTTTCTCTCTGAGCAGTACTATGGTGCCTGGTACCACAACGCTGCTCTGATCGTCTTCGTGGGTACATCATGGCTTGTTTTACGACCCTCATTTCTAATACTCTGCACAGGCAGTCTTCGCTTCTCATTTCCTAACACGTTTTAATTTCGGCTGGGGTTGGCTGTTTATCATTCTTGCTGGATGCAACACATATTACAGTACCTCAATGGAGCGCGTCAGACGCCGGGCCCGTGACGATATTCAACGCGAGCTCGTCAAAACGCGCCTAGCTTCTGAGCACGAGTCTGCAGACTGGTTAAACAACTTCCTTGATCGCTTCTGGTTGATTTATGAGCCTATTCTATCAACTACTATTATTTCATCCGTCGACCAGATACTCAGTACCAACACACCAGCCTTCTTGGATTCTCTTCGCCTCACTCAGTTTACTTTGGGTACCAAGGCACCCCGCATCGACAAAGTCAGAACATTTCCAAAAACTGATGATGACGTCGTCATGATGGACTGGGGCATTTCCTTTACCCCCAATGACGTTGCTGATCTTACTCCTCGCCAAGCAGCGTCAAAGGTCAACCCAAAGATTGTACTTTCGGTTCGTGTTGGTAAAGGCCTCGCTACCGCGTCCATGCCGATTCTTGTAGAGGATATCTCCTTCAGTGGTCTCATGCGTATTCGTATGAAGCTTATGTCAAATTTCCCCCACGTTCAAATCGTAGACCTCTGTTTCTTGGAGAAGCCTCTCATTGATTATGTCCTCAAACCTGTCGGAGGTGAAACGTTTGGATTTGATATTGCCAATGTAAGTTCTCGAACAACATCATTACATATCCTGGATCCTAAAGAGAACAGATACCTGGACTATCTAGCTTTATTCGTGAAATGACGCATGGTACTCTCGGTCCAATGATGTACGACCCGAATGTGTTCACCCTCAACCTTGAGCAAATGCTTTCTGGGAAACCACTAGACGCGGCTATCGGAGTCGTCCAGGTTACTGTTCATTCTGCCCGTGGAATTAAGGGGACCAAGATCGGTGGTGGCACACCTGACCCATACATCGCTTTGACTATCAATGACCGTGCTGAACTTGCTCGTACCAAGAGCAAACCCAATACGTGCGTCCGAGCGGACAAGTATGTTCACTACCTTTGACGAACTGCATCTTTTATTAGCTATAACCCTACGTGGACGGAGACCAAATTTTTGCTTGTCAACTCACTACAAGAGTCACTGATTCTCAACCTATGGGACTATAATGACCACCGCAAGGACAGCCACATGGGTGCATCCAGTTTCGAGTTGTCCAAACTCCACGAAGATGCCGTCCAAGAAGATATTCGTTCGACTTTGCTGAAAGATGGCAAGGAGCGAGGAGAGCTTCGATACGATGTCTCTTACTTCCCGGTCTTGGAGCCAGAGGACGGGCAGCTTGCTGAAACCTGTAAGTCTTGACTCTTTATCCTCGATATATTAAGGTCAATCTTAGTCATGGTTTTGACAGCTGTTGGAATTGTCCGTTTAACCATACATCAAGCTAAGGATCTCGACCACACGAAGTCACTCAGTGGGGATCTAAATCCTATGACCAAGGTTTACCTGGGAGACTCGAAGAACCCTGCATACTCTACACGTCACTTTAAACACACCAACAATCCCGTATGGGAGTCACCTTTCGAATTCCTCTGCGCAGACAAGGCCTCGTCCATCATCACGCTTAAAGTAATCGATGATCGTGACTTCTTAAAGGACCCTGTTGTTGGCCATATGTCAATCAAGCTCACAGATTTGTTGGATTCTATGGGTGAAGCAGGTAGGGATTGGTTCCCATTGAGCGGTTGCAAGTCTGGCAAGATCAGGGTCTCAGCTGAATGGAAACCATTGGCCATGGCTGGTAGTTTGAGTGGCGCTGATAAATACAAGCCACCCATTGGTGTTGTTAAGCTATGGTTGGAAAAAGCCACAGATGTCAAGTGTGTAAAATTATGCTAAGACTATCAGTCCTTTCGCTGATCATTGGCTTAGGAATGTGGAAGCAGCATTAGGAGGCAAGGTGGGACATACATTTGTCAAGTTTTCTTTCTTTCTACTAACACTGTTG